ATATGCCAGGGGTGTGCCATAACTCCTTATCTTTTCAATCTATATGCAGAACAGATAATACAGGAGGCTGGGCTCTATAAGGAGGAACGTGGCATCAGGATTGGAAGAAGATTCACCAATAATGTGCATTATACAGATGATACAACCTTGGTTGCCAAAACTGAGGCGGGCCTAAAGCTTTTGCTTCAGAAGGTCAAGGAATGCAGCCTTAAATATGCATTGAAGCTCAACATCAAGAAAACAAAAATTTTAACCATGGGACCACTGGCAGCATCATGATAAATGATGAAGAGACTGACTGTTAACAGCCTCAGTTTGCTTGGCTCCACAATCAACACTCTTGGTAACAGCAATCAGGCAATCAAAAGACAAATTGCACTGGGTAAATCTGCTCTCTGAGACCTCTCCAGAGTACTTAAGAACACTGATGCCAGTTTGGGGACTAAGGTGCACCTGATCCAGGCCATAGTCTCTATTTCTTGTTATGCATCAGAAAGGTGGAAATGACTAGGGATGATAGAAGGTGAACTGAAGCCTTTTAGCTGTGGTGCTGAAGAATAGTATTGAATATATCATGGACAGCTAGTAGAACAAATTGGTTTGTCCTAGAGAGGAAGAAATCAGGCTGCTCCTTGGAAGCAAGAATTTTGAGATTGCATTTCACATAATTTGGGTATGTTGCCAGGAGGGACCAGTCCTTTGAGAAGGATACTATGTTTGGAAAGGTGAAGGGACAGCACAAGAGAGGAAGATCCTGGATGAGATGGATTGACTCAGTGACTAGGATACAATGGGACTGGCTCAAGATAGAGGTTGCAGAGCTGTTGTACAGTGTCGCTACAATGAACAACGGTACTGAATCCTGTCCTATCCTATGCCATCCTCACCACCTCTGACACACACTTGAGCCCATGGTTGCAGTCACCATGTTACTTCATCTCGATGGTGGTCTGATATCCTTTTGCAAGGAATAGCCTTTTCTAGCAAAAAGTCCAAAGTATGAGAGACGAAGCTTTGCCATCTTTGCTTCCATGAAGCACTCTGGCTGCACATCTTCCAAGACATATTAGTTCATTCTTCTGGCACTCCAAGGAGTACTCAATACTCTTCTCCAACACCACAACTCAAAGGCATCAATTCTACTTCTGTAATTCAGATCCAGTTCTCAGATGCATAGCAATTAATGGATAAGAATCAAGTGCATTTTAGTCTTCAAACTGGCATCATTGCTGTTCAGTATTATATGGAGAGGTCTCTGACAGTGGACTTGCCCATTGCAATACAGGTTCTTATCTCCTGGCTGCTGGTACCAATAGTGTTGATTGTGGATTCAAGTCAGAAAAAAAATGACAGGTTCAATCCTTTCTCCATTAATCATGATGTTTCCCACTGGCTTAGTGGCAATGACCTCTGTTTTCCTGATGCTAAGATGCAATTCACATTGAAGACTCTGGATTTAATCTTCTCCAACAAATGTTTCAAAGTCCTCCTGACTTTCAGCAAGCAAGGTTGTGCCATCTGCATAACGCTGGCTGTTGAGAAGTCATCCTCCTATCCTGATGGCACATCCTTCTTCCTGAAGTCTGGCTTCATGAATTATTTGCTCAGCATACAAACTGAACAGTTATGGAGGAAGGATACACCCTTGATGCATGTACTTCTTGATTTCAAACCAGACAGTGTTCCCTCGTTTCATCAGGACAACAGCTTCTTGGACTAGGTATAGCTTTCATATAAGCACAATCAAGTGTTGTGGGATTACCATTCTTCTCAATGTTAGCCAAAGTTTGTTATGATTCACACAGTTAAATGCCTTTGCACAGCCAATAAAACACATTTTTTCTAGTATTCTCTGCTTTCAGTCAGAATCTGACATCAGCAATGATATACCTGGTGCCACAGCCTCATCAAAATCCAGCTTGAACTTCTCAGAGTCCCCTGTCAATATACTGTTTCAGCCATTTTTTACACATAATCTTCAGCAATATTTTGATCATATGTGATGTTAAAAATACTGTTTGATAATTTCCACATTCTATTGGATCACCTATCTTGGAAATGGGAACAAATATGGACCTCTTTCTAGTCACTCAGCCAGAAAGCTGTCCTCAAAATTTCCTGGCATAGACTAGTTAGTGAGCCCATTCAGGGTTGCATCTGTTAGTTGAAAAATGTCAATCAGTATATTATCTATTCTTGGGACCTTACTTTTTGCCAGTGCCTTTACCGCAGTTTGAACTTTTTCCTTTCTTATTGACATTTATTCATATATTGCTTCCTGAAATTTTTAGTGTCTACCAATTCTTTTTAGTACAGTGACTATGTACTCCTTCTACCTTCTTTTAATGCTTCTTTAATCATTAAAGATTTTGCCAATGGCATCTTTCAGTACTGCAATTCAAGGCTTCCATCTATTTTTCAGTTCTTTCAGTTTGAGAAATGCTGAGAGAGTTCTTCCCTTTCTATTTTCTGACTCCAGCTCTTTGCATATTTTGTTATAATATTTTATCTTCTAATCTGTCATTTGAAATCTTCTGATCAGTTCTTTTACTTAGTATCGTCTCCCTTTGTTTTGCCTTCTCAATGCTATAATGCAACGTTGTTGTTGTTTGTTGTTGTTATGTGCCGTCCAGTCACTTGCGACTCATAGTGACCCTATGTAGAACAGCCCTAAACCCTACTCTATCCTGTGCCAATCGCACTGCCTCTGACACACCCATACCAATTACCCCAGTCAATGAGTCAATCCACCTCATAGAGGGTCTTCCCCTCCTGCATCGTCCCCCCACCCTCCCAACCATGATGTTCCTCTCCAAGGACCTGCCCCTCCTTGCAACATGCCCAAAGTATGTCAGACAAAGCCCCAGAATCCTTGCCTCCACGGAGTAGCTTGGTTTAACCCTCTCCAGGATGAATCTGTTTGTTTTCGCATTAGCATGATTAAATGTTCTGGGATTCCCATTCTTCTCAGAGTCAGCCACAATTTGTTATGATCCACACAGTCAAATGCCTTTGCATAATCAATGAAACACAGATAGACACATTCTTCTGGTATTCACTGCTTTCAGCTAAGATCCATCTAACATCAGCTAAACCCAGCCTGGACTTCTGGCAGTTCTCTGCTGATGTGCTGTTCCAGTTGTCTTTGGAAAATCTTAGTGGAATCTTGCTTGCATGTGAAATCAATGAGAATAGTTTCCACACTCTGTTGGGCCACATCTTGCTCATATGTTATTTCATTAAATTCTTCTGTCTGCCTTTAGATATGTGTAAAACTTCTCAGTGATACGCTCTCTCACGAATTCCTGATATTAACAGCCTTAAAGATATTTTTGCCAATTATTGTTGTTGTGTGTCATGAATGTTGTTATTATTGTTGTTGTGCACCATAGATAGGGGATGTAAAATAGCAGTCACTATGGTCTTAATTAGGGAGCTCTGATGGTAGTCTTTGCAGAGTTGAGCTAAAGGTCACACTCTTCTGGAGTTTCAAATTCACTGGTTCTCTAAGGGAGAAAAAAAATTATCCTCCTGTATAATTTACTGCCTCAAAAACCCAATGGAGGGTCAACTTTGAGTTAGTTCTGACTTGACTGTACCAAAAAACTCCAATAACATGATTATTAAGGAGCTGTGCATGAAAGCTTAAAATTAGCAGGTACCTCATGTGCATAAAGCACATTGCCCCCAGGATAGATAGGCTTAATTCCATTTTAAGTCTTCAAATAAATCTGGAACCCATGGACCCTAAAGCTACATTTTCTAATGGCAGTTTCCTGAACCCTGATGCAGACCTAACTAAACAGCCTAAAACAAGATAGTCCTTTTCTTCTGAAGTCTGACATTTCCACATAAAAGGTCTTGATGTACAGCATTATTTATAAATTTTTACAACGAATTTCTAGAAATAGGCATGACTAAGAAAGCAATTTTTATATTATATTACCTCTCCCCACATACAAAAAACCTTGTCCTATTGGCCATCCAGCAACAACATGAAAAGAATGTACACTTGCTTGCTAAACTAGAAGAAAACCTGAAGTATTTATTGATGTACATTAAAGATTATCTTCAGTATGAATTATAACAGTTTTTTAATCATTAACTGGACCAATAAATAATATCATGATAAACAAAGAATCAAAGTTATCAAAAAATTAATTTTATCTGTACAAAACTGATGCAAAGGACCTTATTTAAAGTACTTAAAAGCAAAAGATATCATTTTGATGATTAAAATGCACATAACCAAAACCTTAGTATTTCTGATGGTTTCATATGTTTATAAGAAAATATAAAATGTTGGTCAAGAACACAAAATCCACCATTAAAAGTCTGAGAAATGACCAAATCTGTTTTATAAGAGATGAAGTAAACTTGTTTCTTAGAAGTATCCTTAGAATGCAAGACCAGTTCTCATATATTTTGGGCATCTTATCAGAAGGGGTCAGTTCCTGGAGAAGGATACATCATACTCAGTAACTAAGTAGAAGGTCACCAAAAAAAGAGGCATAGTCTCCAGGAGATGTATTGCCACAATGGGCTTAAACATAATACTTACTGTAAAGACAGCACAGGATCATGTGGTTTCCTTCATTGAACACAAAGTCGTAATATGAGTTTGAGCTAGAACCTAGATGGCACCTACGAACTGTAATGCTATTTATATAGAAAAAACCCCAAAATATTGAAACACATGTGTCTGTGTACAGTTATTTCAGAAATAGATATTTTCAGTAAATATTTATGACAAATTACACCTTATTTTTAAACAATATCTTCACATTCAATGCTACTATAAGAAGAGGCATATACTTAAATAAATATGTGCTGTTTTCGAAAATAATACTTTAAGTCATAGTCATATCTAATGGTAGAAATCATTACTCATGTCTAATAATTTTATTTAAAGTGCACATATCAAGACTGTGTTACCCTTTCGTTCTGATAATTTAAGGTCATCATCAACATAGTGAAATAAAAATTTAAGTTGGGCTCACCTATTTCATTAATGACTGCTCTTGCTTTGGAGACAAAAGGACCAACTTCGGTGGAATGCATTTTGACTCTTTCTTTAAGGTCAGCACCTGTAAAGTATTTTATTTACAAAAGTAGTCATAAAAATTTAAGTAAAAAAGTGGAAAATTTATTTGTTTACAATTCATATTTAATTTGAATATAAAAGTAATTAATCTGTTACATTATATTACAGATATTTTCCTTTTCAATGATTACCATAAACATAAATATCTTTTATGAATTTATCTTGTTTGTTATTATCAAAATATATGGTCTCTCTTTACACTTTTAGAGCAATAGTTTTAATCTCTGTGGATGATATATAATTAGATTCATTGTATTAGATTTGAAACAAAGACAGTTTTAAAATACTTTTCACTTAAATGAAAAACAACTCACCAATGTCAACATAAATCATGTTAGCTTCTTCAAATTGATGCCATGATTTGCAAAACACTAACTGCTTAGCCCATCATCAACCCATGGACCACTCCATGGAAAGATGAGCCCAAGAGTGCAAATATCAACTGAAAAACGGCTTAACATTATGTAAAAAGTCACAATTTCATAATTATGACTTCTTAACAATATTACAACTTCTAAATGGGGGAGGAAAAACCCCAATAAATATACATGAATTCCCTAAAAGATCCTTTACTCATATGACTCAACAAAGGCTTCAGTTTTGGTAAAATTTAAAATGACAAGCGAAGGCCAGATGAGTTGTGGGAGGATATCAAGGGTATCATCCAGGAAGAGTACAAATGGTCATTGCAAAGACAGAAGAGGAAGAAAAGACTCTGAAAATTGCACTGGAGTGCAGAGAAGCGAAAGCACAGGGAAGAATTCAAGATACTAAAGAGTTGAATAGAAGATTTCAAAAGGCAAAGGCAACACGGGATGACAAATCAAAATATTACAATGAAATGTGCAAGGAGTTGGAGTCGGAAAATCACAAGGGCCAAACTTGTTCAGCATATCTTAAGCTCAAGGAACTGAAGAACAAATTCAAATCTCGAGTGGCTATAATCAAGGATGCTTTCGGAAGAATGTTAAATGATCCAGGAAGTATTAAAAGAAGATGGAAAGAATATACTGAGTCACTGTATCGAAAGAAATTGGAAGACACAGAAGAATTTCATGAAACAACATATGAGCAAGAGCCTATGGTGATGAAAGAAGAAGTTCAGGCTGCTTTGAAGGAAATGCAAAACATAAGACTCCAGGAATAGATGGTATACCAATTGACATATTTCAGTTAACAGATGTTGCCATGGACGTGCTCACCAAATTGTGCCAAGAAATCTGGAGAATGACCACTTGGCCAACTGACTAGAAGAGATCGATATTTGTTCCTATCCCAAAGAAAGGTGACCCAACAGAATGTGGAAACTACAGAACAATCTCACTGATTTCACATGCAAACAAGATTTTACTGAGGATTATCCAAAAACGACTGGAACAGCACAGAGAACTACCAGAAGTCCAGGCTGCGTTTAAAAGGGGTCGTGGTACTAGAGATATTGTAGCTGATGTTAGATGGATCTTGGCTGAAAGCAGGGAATACCAGAGGAATGTCTATCTGTGTTTCATTGACTATGCAAAGGCATTTGACTGTGTAGTTCATAACAAACTATGGCTGACTCTGAGAAGAATGGGAATCCCAGAACACTTAATCGTTCTAATGCGAAACTTAAACTTGGACCATGAGGCAGTCGTCAGAACAGAGCAAGGGAACACTGCATGGTTCAAAATTGGGAAGAGCATACGCCAGGGATGCATCCTATCTTCATACCTTTTCAACCTATATGCAGAACAGATTATCCGGGAGGCTGGGCTCTAGGAGGAGAAATGTGGGGTCAAGATTGGTGGACGATTTATCAACAATCTGTGTTATGCGGACGACCTAACCCTGCTTGCTGAAACTGAAGAGGACCTGAAGCGCCTGCTGCAGAGTGTCAAGGACGGCAGCCTACAATATGGATTGAGGCTCAATGTCAAGAAGACAAAGATTCTCAGCACTGGACCAACTGGCAGCATCAAGATGGATGGTGAAGAGATTGAGATTGTACACAGCTTTAGTTTGCTTGGCTCTGTAGCCAACAGTCTTGGCACCAGCAGCCAGGAAATTAAAAGGCGCATTGCCATGGGAAAGTCTGCTGTTAGGGACCTCTCCAAATTGCTGAAGAGCAATGGTGTCTCTTTGGAGACTAAGGTGCGTCTGATACAGGCCATGGTCTTTGCAATCACTTGTTATGCATCAGAGAGTTGGACAATGACCAAGGAGGATAGAAGGAGAATTAATGCCTTTGAGCTGTGGTGCTGGAGAAAGAGTATTGAGAATACCATGGATTGCTAGGAAAACAAACAGATTTGTCCTGGAAAGGGTTAAACGGGTGACTCCTTGGAGGCAAGGATTCTGAGGCTCCGTCTAACTTACTTTGGACATGTTGTGAGGAGAGACCGGTCCTTGGAGAGGGACATCATGCTTGGGAGGGTGGAGGGACAGCGTAGGAGAGGAAGGCCCTCTATGAGGTGGATTGATTCAGTGACTGGGATAATTGGGATGGAAGTGTCAGAGACAGTGCGATTGGCACAGGACAGAGTGGAGTTTATGGCTGTTGTACATAGGGTCGCTATGAGTCGCAGGTGACTCGACGGCACATAACAACAAGAATAACATAACTGAAAAAAGGTAGATCTTTCTTTAAATACATCTAGGGAGTCTACAATGATGTACTGTTAACCGTTGGGTGTGTCATTTCTTTAGTAGATCTACTAGTAGCTCCATGAGAGAAGATGGGCAATAATTTCCCATACAATTTAAAAATCACTTTAAAACCATTTTGTAAAATGTGTAAGAGGCATAAATTCCTGACTTGGGAACCTGACCATTCCTATAACTAAAACTATCCTCTTCTCCCTTGCCCTTAGCAACAGTACTTACAACAATACTTCTCTCCACTTGTTTGTGCCTGGCAACCAGAATTATCACCAACATGGCTCAGGTAACCCTGCCTTTCTGGAAAGTCCCTCCTAAGCATATCTCGTCCTAACACCCGCCCCACCCCCACCCCATAATTCTCCATCCTGATAACACCCCCTCCCGCCTGTACTTCTCCATCCTGCCTCAACCTGACCTTTATAAATTGTTTCCCTGTATCATTTCAGATACTTATGCTGGTGGAAGTAGGAAAAAAAAACATACTTGATGAGTGGTCTCAAGTCTCTATAGAAACCTCTGGGGCAGGGGGAAAAGGGGTGTTGTAATGAGTCAATGAGTGAATGGCTAAGTAAGGAGCTCTGGTAACAAGATTTGTAAAGTGTTGCACTGCCAACCAAAGGTTGTATACCTGTGGCAGATCAACCCACGGACCACTCATTCAGAAGAAAGAGGAGCAGTCAACTTCCATTAAGATTTATAGCCTCTGCATTGATACACAAGGAACTCATGCAATATTATTCAAAATGGGTAACCCTGGAGGACATTATACTGAGTGAAATATCTCAGTCACAAAAGGATAAATACTTCATAGTGCCACTGTTGTAGAATGGGACTGATTTCAGGGTTGGGGTAAGACTGAGAAAAACTGGATAAATTATGTATACTGCATTGAAAAGATGAGGGAGAGAACAGTTTAAAAGTAATATATGATAGGCTATTATGGTTATCACAAGAGTCCAGAATTAAGGTTGCATAGTGGAGTGTACTCAGGGCAGTTGGGGGATGGGGGTACGGGGGGATTGTATACCAATGAAAGAATTTTTCTTTTACTTTTCAAAGCGAGAACCAAACTGGGGAGGGAGGGCTGGGCTGGGCAGGGAGAAAAGTGCAACAATGAATGAAGGAAAATACAAAATCTCTGTAAATGTTCATTAAAATTAATAAAAATAATTAAAAAAAACCTGTTGGAGGGTCAACCATTATTTCATTTCAACTCCATGCCAATGGGTTGGTTTTTGTTCGTTTATTTTTCTTTTATATCTAAGAAGTGCTGGTAGATCGTTAAATTTGGTAACCCAAAGGCTGGAAGTTCAAACACATCCAGTGGTTCCATGAGGAAAGATTTGATTATTTTGTCCCATAAAGATGAAAGCCTAGAAAACCCTATGGGGCAGTTTTAACTGGATTGCTACAAATCCAAAATGGATTCAACAGCATCTAATAATAGCAAGAGTGCTAGTCCTGATCTTGTAATGCCTCAGTGATACTTGTTTCTTTCTCACAGGACATTTGCTCCACACAGCCTGGTCACTAAGTGGCATGGACTGGGCTGGTGTTCAGAAGTGTGAGACTCCGAGTCCAGAGGTGTTTTCCCTCTCTATCACCACCTCCATAGTACCTTGATATCTCCTTAAGATATGTGGTTGAAATTTGAGAGAACTCAACATTTATGCTTTGAATTTGAAGTCTGTGTGGAAGATATTAGGCATCTAATTGAAGCCCTTTGAGCAAGAGAGTCATGTAATCAGAGCTCCTTCTGGATTTATTTTGGCAATTCTACATTACTAGCTCTAGAGGAAACATACACTTTTAAACTGTAGCAAGGAGCAACCAGAAATAACAGATGAGAGTGTTCATCTCCCCCACAAAAGCACTTAGTGGCTACCTGTGTAATTTGAGCCTGGTCCTGCGTCCACTGCATCTATCTCAGTGTCCTCTTGCTGAGATGCTGGCTGGAGTTCCAGCCTTTGAATAAGGCACCGGTTTCAAAAGTCAAATTTTAAATGCTGCCCTTCAAAATTGAAGTAATTACTCTGCCAGTCAACCATAACGAATAATGGTATAGTTGCTTTTCACTGAGTTTCTACTACATGCCTGACGCTGCTAGGTACTTTACAGATATAATCTCTAATTCACCCAATGACCCTGAAAAAAAACAGGCATTATTATTTTTATTTTCCACCATCTGTCTGTCCGTTTGTTTTCTGTGATGATGTGTGTGTTGTAGTGATACTGGCAGCTCTGACCTTAGTATTTCAAATACCAGCAGGCTTGTCCACGTGTTTTGTTTCTAAACAGAGACAGAGTAGGGAGAAAACTTCTGAAGAATATTCCAACTTGTAAAAAAAAAAAAGGATTTATAGCCTCAGGGTTGGCCAACCACCCCACAAGATCGAAGCAGCCAGCCAAGCATATAACATCCATTAGAAAGCAGGAGAGGCAATAAAATAAACTTCAAGGTGAAAATCACCATAAAGAGATAAGAAAGGGCATTATATAATGATTAAAGGCACAAAAGAACAAGAGGATATATTCTTAGTTACTATCTATGCACCAAATAATACACCTGAAAATAACATAATAACAGACTTGAAGAAGAAAATAGACACCACTACAATAGTAGTAAGAGACTTCAATACAGCAGTCTCACCAAAGGAGAGGTCAACTCTAAAGAGGTAAAGAACTAAACAATGCTGCTGTTGCTCTATGCTCTCATAATAGCTATGGCTGATTCTCCAGCGGGTTTTCAGAAACTGTCCTTCATTCTTCCACAGAGCTGCTGGTGAATCCAAACTAAGTAGGGACTGCAGCAGAGTTTCTTAACCCTGGGCTACCAGAGCTATCAATTACCAACTCTACCTTACAGCCTTACTCAGGGTATTACATTAAAAAAAACCCCTCAATATATTTTCTTCTCTAGTGCACATGGAACATTCTTGAGCTGTGATACTGCAGAAGAACACTGAACACTGAACAAAAGAACAAATAGGCATGTCTCGGACAAGGTGCCAGAGTGCTCTTTGGAGGCAAAGTTGATGAGGTGTTACCTCACATACTTTGGACATGTTGCTAAGAGCAGCTATTCCTTGGAGAGGGACATGATGCTCAGAAAGGGAGAGGGTCAGCAGAAGAGAGGAAGACTGTAAACCAGATGGATTGACATAGTGACTAGTGACTGCTGTATGGGGCTGTAGGTATGTCAAGAAGAATGACATGGTACAGGATAGGAGAGCATTCAGATCTGTTGTTCATATGGTCTGTATGGATTGTACTTGGCTAAACAGTTCCTAACAACAGCAGAAGTAACAAAAATTGGCAGATACATGAATGAAATTTCTTTCAACGCTGCTGTGTTTGAAATTTTTCAAATAAAACATTAGAGAGAAATAAGCATACTGTATATTTTGGCCTTAATTCTCCACTTTTAGTTTCACCATGCTCTTTGCAATACACAGTTCCTCCTTCCTTTATATCTGAAGTGAAAAGGGGATACAGCTTCCCTAGCTGTATGTATGGAAGGAACAGCTAAACTGTTCTACTCAGATTCCCAACCCAAAGCCAACTAGATAAGTTCACCTCCGTCCAACCATGAAATTGACCTCAGAAACAGCAAAGTCCAGTCAAAATAAAATGAGCCCAGTCTTCACTAGAATTACCCAGTTAACATACAAATTTGTCAACAATAATTTGTGGAAAATAATAAATGCTTCTTGTTTAATTAATTGAATTTTAAAGAGTCTTGTTACATTGCATTATTGTGTTAAGAGATAACTGAAACAGTATTTATAATCTTAAATTTTTCAATACATAAAAAAAGATTGATTATAACAGTCACCTCTCTGTAATTAAAAAACATTGGATTGGGGAGAGGGGGAGACAAATCCTGGTCTCTAGGGAGCAGCCTGGTCTCACCCTCTCCAGGACAGACCTGTTTATTCTTGGGTCCACAGTATGTTCAACACTCTTCTCCATCACCACAACTCAAAGACATTGATCCTTCTTTAATCCTTAGTTATTGTCCACTCTCTGATACCTAGCAAGTAACCACAAAGAACATGTCCTGGATCAGGCACTTTTTAATTTCCAGACTGACATTGTTCTACTTCGGTACTCTAAAGTTATTCCTGACAGCAGACTTTCCTGATGCAATCATATTTTGATTTCCTGAATGCTGGTGCCAAGAATGTTGACTACGGAACCAAGCAAGTTGAAGTTGTTAACAATCTCATTATCTTCTCCATCTATGATACTTTAGGTGAGCCCTGTGGTGAGAATCTTTGTTTTATTGATTTTTGATGTTGAGCTTCAATCCACACTCAAGACTACAGTCCTTGAATTTCTGCAGCAAATGCCTCATGTCCTCTTCAGTTTCAGCAAGCAAGGTTGTGTAATCTACGTAACATAGGATATTGATGAGTCTTCCTCCAATCTTGACGCCACATTCCTCCTCATAAACTCTAGCCTCCGGAACAATCTTTTCTGACTATAGGTTGAAAAGGCATGGAGATGCAATGCATCCCTGACAAACACCTTCCTATTTCCTTACCCTGGTCTAAGGACTGCTTCTTGGTCCAAATATAAATCTCACATGAGCACAATTAGGTGTTCAGGGATTCGGATTCTTCTCAAGGTTAGCCATAATTTGTTGTAATACACACAGTCAAATGCCTTTGCATAGTCAATGTAACACAGATAGGCATTCCTTCTCCTCTGGTACTCTCTGCCTTCAGCCAAGATCTATCTAACACAGGCAATGATGTCCCTAGTGCCACAACCTCTTCTACGCTCAGCTTGCACATCTGGCAGTTTTCTATTGATGTACTGTTCCAGTCAATTTTGGATCAACTTCAGTAGGATATTGCTCACAAGTGATGATAATTCAATTATCTCTATGCTATGCTGGGTCACCTTTTTTTTTTTTTAATAAGTAAATAGAGATCTCTTCCAGTCAGTTGGCCAGGTAGCTGTCCTCCAGATTTCTTGGCATAACCTGGTGAGCATGTCTAGGGTAGCATCTGTTTGCAGAAATATATTAACTGGTATTCCATCATTTCCTGGGGCTTTGTTTTTTGGCCAATTCCTTCAGAGCAGCTTATACTTCCTCCTTCATCACCACTGCATCTTGATCATATGTTGATTCATGAAATTCTGTGTCAGCCAATTCTTTTTTATATAGTGATTCCCTGTACTCTTTCCATCTTCTTTTTAATTGAAAAAATAATGTCGAATCTTAACCAGAAAACCATTTCTCCAAGCTGTGACATAGCAGCTAGAACGTTTAAACTGGTGAACTTTTGGTTGGTATTCTAATACTGAACCAAGGCAGGATGATAAAATCACCAATGTGATTTAAGATAAAGATATAAAGGGTGGTTATTAAATACCATTAAGTAAAGTATGACACATAGCAACCTTATGAACAACAAATCTTAACTCTGTCATACCCTGGGCTATCCTCACCATCTTTGATATACTTGAGCCAATGATTGCTCCTGTCACTGTGTCACTCCATCTCTTTGGGGATCTTCCTCTCTTTTGCCGAACCTTTTCCAAACATTATGTCCCCTTCCAAAAGCCTCTCCTAGCAACATGTCCAAAGTTTATGAAACAAAGTTTTGTCATCTTTGCCTCCAAGGAGCACTCTGGCTGCACGTTCTCCAAACCATATCTGTTTGTTCTTTTGGCAGTTCATAGGATATTCAGTACTCTTCTCCACTCCACAGCTCAGTTAAAAGACATCAACTCGCTCCCTCCCTGCCCCTACCTCGGTGGCTGCCGCTGCCGCTCGCCCCTGAAGAACTCCCTGACCCCTCCCTAAACCCTTCCTGACCTCAGCCCCGCTGCTTGGGCCGCCTGTTTTCGGTTTCCCGGCCGGCCGGGTCCCAGTGCCTGGGCGGGGGCGCCGCAGCCAAGAAGGGAAGAGCCGCGACCCCCCAGCTCTGCAGCCAGATCGTTCCGTCGGCCGCTGCCATGGCACTGAGGCTGACCCCGCTCACCTGCTCGGGCCACACGCGGCCCGTGGTGGATCTGGCCTTCAGTGGCATCACGCCTTACGGCTATTTCTTAATCAGCGCTTGCAAAGATGGAAAACCTATGCTGCGCCAGGGAGATACTGGAGACTGGATTGGAACATTTTTGGGTCATAAGGGTGCTGTTTGGGGTGCAACATTGAATAAGGATGCCACCAAAGCAGCCACTGCAGCTGCAGATTTCACAGCCAAAGTGTGGGATGCTGTCTCAGGAGATGAAATGATGACCCTGGCTCATAAACATATTGTCAAGACTGTGGATTTCACTCAGGATAGTAATTATTTGTTAACTGGGGGACAAGATAAACTGTTACGCATCTATGAATTGAACAAACCTGAAGCAGAACCTAGGGAAATCAGTGGTCACACTTCTGGTATAAAAAAGGCTCTGTGGTGCAGTGAGGATAAACAGATTCTTTCAGCTGATGATAAAACTGTCCGCCTTTGGGATCAGGCTACTATGACAGAAGTGAAATCTCGAACTTTTAATATGTCTGTTAGCAGTATGGAATATATTCCTGAGGGAGAGGTCTTGGTAATAACCTATGGACGATCTATTGCATTTCATAGTGCAGTAAGTTTGGAGCCAATTAAGTCTTTTGAAGCTCCTGCAACCATCAATTCTGCATCTCTTCATCCTGAAAAAGAATTTCTTGTTGCAGGTGGTGAAGATTTTAAACTTTATAAGTATGATTATAATAGTGGAGAAGAACTAGAATCCTACAAAGGGCATTTTGGTCCTATTCACTGTGTGAGATTTAGTCCTGATAGAGAACTCTATGCCAGTGGTTCTGAAGATGGAACATTGAGACTATGGCAAACTGTTGTAGGAAAAACATATGGCCTTTGGAAATGTGTGCTTCCTGAAGAAGATAGTGGTGAGCTGGCAAAACCCAAGATCAGTTTTCAGAAACAACAGAAGAAGAACTAGAGGAAATTGCTTCAAAGAATTCAGATTCCATCTATAGTTCTACTCCTGAAGTCAAAGCCTGAGCATCAGGCATATGCCACAGAGAATATACAACCTATGGACTAAACAAGCAGAGAGAAAGCATCAGCCTACCGGGGTTACTCTCTGCTTAAGGCAAGTGTGCGCAGTAAATAAAGGGGAATATGCATTAGCTCCAGCACTGGAACTAACTTGGTATTACCTGTAAGTGAAAACCCAAAAGTATCACAAGAAGGCAGGTGGATTCATGCTCTTGTAGTACGACAGCCTACTGTCCTTAAGAATGAATATGTGCAAGCCAACATCCAATTCCTCTTATTACAATTAGTTTTCTTGTAGCTGTTTATGTTATTATGAAGAAAAAAAATATAATGGCCTATTTTTCTGACTTTTCCCTTAAAGCAGAGAGACTTGCTTTACTTATAAAGAAGAGGGGATATACATTATAAAGTAATTGGTTTAATTTCTTTTTCATTGTACACTGCTTCTGAACATCAGCTAATTGTTTTTAGTTGTCTAAATAAATTGGCTCTAAAACAAAAAAAAAACAACAAAAAAAAAGACATCAACTCTTCTTCAGTTTTCCTTAGTTACTGTCCAGCTCTCAGATGCATAACAAGTGATGAGAAAGACTATGACATGAATCAGGTGCACCTTACTCTTCCAAATGATATCACTGTTCCTCAATAATATGGAAAGGTCCCTGACTACAGACGTTGCTTCAGAATACCTAACTGCTGCTACCAAGGGGTGTTGATTGTAGATCCAAGTAAGGTGAAATCACTGACAGTTTCAATCTTTCCTTCATCTATCATGATGTTAAAGTTCAGTGGTGAGAATGAGATTACTTGGAAGGAAAACCAAACAAACTCAAACTCACTGTGGTCAAGTTGATTCATAGTGATCCTCCACTAGGTTTCTGAGGTACTATATCTTAACAGGAAGAGACCATTCATCTTTCTCACTTATAGCAACTAGTGCATTTGAATCACTGGAGATACACAGCCTTTTGGTTAACAGTAAAATAAAGTAGGGGCTACACTAGCCGAGTCCTTTATATGTGATGTTGTTATTGTGTACCATCAAGTCAGAATGGAGCCTCCAGTGGATAATCAAAGGAAGTTTATCACATGGGAGAAGATAGTCCATGCTTCTCCAGCAGAGCATCTGGTGAGTTTGAACTATGTGACTTTGGGATTGTAGCACAGCTTCTTGTTACTAGGCCACCAGAGCTTCCTTGGGTTATATGTGATAAGATCCCATAATTTACCTTCTGATTCAGAAAAAAGTCCTAATGTGGCATTTGTAAGAATCAATTTTATTACATTTTTCAGTAGTTAAATTTTCTCTTCTTGAGAAGGTATCTGAAAAGGAATGAAATATCAATCCATATAAGTGTTAAAAAGAAAAGTATTGAAACAAAATTAGATCATTGGACACAGACTACTAACTGGTGTATTCAAAATCTTCCATAGCAATGATTTATTTTTTCCTTTTTAAATATATTCATTATTAAAGAAGAGATAGCAAAAACTGTCTTTATTATGGTAGACTTGGCAATATTTCCTGATAGTGTTGTATTTTTGCACTATATAGTTTAAGGCTATTTCTAAAAGCATAGATGTTTGAGAATATAGTTACCTGTGGAAATAAACTTTTTATCATTATACAGTGATCCACTTTATAGTTAGGGACCTCTCCAAAGTGCTGAAGAGCAATGGTGTCTCTCTGGAGACTAAGGCGCGTCTGATACAGGCCATGGTTTTTGCAATCACTTGTTATGCATCAGAGAGTTGGGCAATGACCAAGAAGGATAGAAGGAGAATTGATGCCCTTGAGCTGTGGTGCTGGAGAAGAGTATTGAGAATACCATGGGCTGCTAGGAAAACAAACAGATTTGTCCTGGAAAGGGTTAGACCGGGTGGCTCCTTGGAGGCAAGGATTCTGAGGCTCCGTCTAACTTACTTTGGACATGTTGTGAGGAGAGACCAGTCCTTAGAGAGGGACATCATGCTTGGAAGGGTGGAGGGACAGCACAGGAGAGGAAGGCCCTCTATGAGGTGGATTGATTCAGTGACTGGGATAATTGGGATGGGAGTGTCAGAGACAGTGCGACTGGCACAGGACAGAGCGGAGTTTAGGGCTGTTGTACATAGGGTCGCTATGAGTCGCAGGCGACTCGACGGCACATAACAACAACAACACAGGTAATATAGTTTCACATGAATGTCTCTTTTACTATTATCTTTATATGGCTTCAAATATTGGTAATAATATCAGGATCAGTATAATAACCTTTCTAGTAGTTAGCATTCACCTCTTAGAGTCTCTTCTAACATCTGTTTCGACTTTTTTCTTTCTCCTCTTTTTTGTAATGACTTTTTGTTCTCTTCATGGATGATATCCCTGATATCATCCCTCAACTCATTTGTTCTTCAATTATTCATGTTCAATGCCTCAAACCTATTCTTAAGATGATCACAAAATTCAGATGGAATTGATTCAAGCTCATATCTTGGTTCCTCTGGACTTACTTTAATTTTCTTCAGCCTCAATTTGAATTTGAATATGAGTAAATGATTATTTAAAACATAGCCTAGTTTTGACTGTCAATATTGAGATTTTCCAACAATTTCTTCCACAAATGGACCCATCAGGTGAGATACACATGTAAACTTGTCATTTGTGTCTTCTAAAAAAGGTATTTGCACTCCTCTTACAAGATGTGCTCATCTTGGGAGACCTGCTCGTCTCCAGAGATGCTGTTCTGGGGGACCTTACCTTCACTCTGCTGCAATAAACCAAGGCCTGTGTAGCATGGTCTACCCTGGAGCTTCTTCCAGTCACTGCTTCCCGAGTGTCTGCTAAATGCTGTGGCCAGACCCAAGCACACTCACACCCTGGTCGGCAAGAGCAACACTGCCTTCCAGGTTAAGGGGCTACAATTTGAGACTGTAATCTTGTCCACAGAATTTTACCACTGCCCCTTCTGCCTGGCCACCCCACTAGCTCATGATGCCTAGAGACTGCCTAGCTGCTGCCTCTCTTGTCCAGCTCCAGGAGCACCAAGTTCACAGGTACTGTGAGTGAAACACTGCTGTTCACATACATCACGAGGTATTCCTTAAGATCAAGTGGAAGAGGCCAGGTGGAGGTTCTGTTTCAGGAGGGCAACAGCATTCCTGCTACTGGTTGACCGTTCTTCCCAAGAAAGGAGCACTAATAAATAGGTCCCTCATAAGACACTGCCATACCCTGGGTGATTATATAGTTACAACAACCTAGTATCTACTAAGAAAAGAATCACAAACTGTCAAGAAAGTAGCAATCTGCATTGGTCACCATGAAAAAAACAAAAAGAATCACAAACTGTCAAGAAAGCAGCAATCTGCATTGGTCACCATGAAAAAACAAAACAAACTTTCTCCTAAAAAGACAGACCAAATGAGTACCCCAGATAGAGAGAATCCGAAGAAATATATTGATGTGGAGTTATTGGAACTGATACAAAAGAAGATGCAAATTATGGAAGGAACAACAGAAGTCATTAGGAGAGCAAATACTACAGAGACAGCAATTTAAAAAAAATATTGATGAGGAGCAACTTGAACAGCTAAGGAAGAAAATGGAAAAAAAAGGAAGAAAGGATTGATAGTAGAGATAAAGAGGTTCAAGACAGACAACAAAAGAAAACCATGAAAATAAAATCCAGAATATTGAGACAGAAATGGCAGAAGTGTCCAACATGATAGTGGGAGGGGAAAAAAAAAGCAGAACAGAAGAGATGAAACAGAGAATCAGTGAGGTAGAAGACAAGACCTTCACTGGAAACGTACAAGAAGAAAAATTGAGATGAGATATAAGGAAAATGAAGAAAACATTAAAATCATGTGGGATGACATCAAAAGGAACAACATAAGAATGATTGGGGATTCTAGAACATGAGAGTAACTGGGATGTATTGAAGATATTTGAGGAACAGGTACTAGAAGAAAACTTCCCTCCTATTTTAAAGAATGATAATATTCACATTCAAGAAGTTCAAGGAACATCAAATAGATGAGACTCAAAACATATCATAGTCAAATTCTCCAATTAAAAGATAAAGATAGAATACTAAAAGCAGCATGAGAAAAACAAAGAGTAAGAAACAAAGGGGAAAGTTCTGATTTCTCAGCAGAATCCATGAGATCTAGAAGAAATGGCATGGCATGTACAGAAAGTCGAAAAAAGCCCCAACAATTGCCAGCCAAGGATCCTATACCCAGGATAGCTGTCCAATAAATATGAAAGAGAAATTAAATCCTTTGCAGAAAAGAAGGAACTCAAGGAATTTGGAAAACAAGACCAAAACTACAAGAAATTTTAAGCTAAAACCTTCACACAGACTCCAGAGGAAACTGGATGGATCATAGTAACCAGAGACAACAAAAAGGAAATATGGGAAAAATAAAACCTGGCTTGAGAATAATCACACTTCATGTGAATGGGCTAAAAGCACCAATCAAGAGAAAAAGAGTACCAGAATAGATAAAAAGTAAAGCCCATAAATATGCTGCCTACAAGAGAAACATCTAAAAAACGGTGAGAAAGAAAAACTCAAAATCAATGCTGAAAAAAAAATTTATATATCAAGCAAACAGCAACCACAAAAAAGCAGGCGTGGCAACACTAATCTTTAATAAAATAGACTTCAGAATGAAAACCACCATACAATATAGGGAAAGGCCCGCCGCCAGCCAGAAGCCACCGCCAGCCAGGCGGGAAGAGCAACAGTCTGCCAGCCACTGAGGAACTCCAGAGGAGCAAACACCCTGTGACCCCAGAGGAGCAATGACTACTCGCCCTACATCCCATGACTGCGTGACCCCCAACACACAAGGTGCTGCTGCTTAAACCCCCAGCAGCGCCCAAGCCCTGCCCCCTACCTATTGGTGGTAGTGTCCAAGCCTTCTGTTCCTTTGCACCCCTAGTCCCTTGCTTTCTCCCCCTTCCTCTGCCCCCCACCTTGCAGCTCCACAACCAGGCATCTCAGCTCCAGCCACAGCCCTGTGACCTCAGGGGCACCACCACAGATTCAGACATCACCCGGAGCTATCAGCAGAGTTGCTGTGGAACTAATCTGGCAGGAGAAAGGCCTGTAGGATCCTGGCTGGGTTTACGGGGGCAT